ATTAATTAATTAATTAATAGTATCATCATGTTGTGTTATTAAGATATTGTCATATTTACTAACATAATTATTATTACTATTGTTACCGTATCTATCAGTGCCAAAATAGATTAATAGGGGTCACAGATTTCATATGCCATGAATCTTTCTTTATTTAACACATTACATTAAATGATAAAAATGCATTACAACGCCAGATATGATAAGACTTTTTTTTTTTTTTTACATTCAAACAACATTGGATTATAGATTTTACCCTAAAATTATTGGGGAAAACTGGATCTGTCATGTCATGCTGCATGGCAGTGGGACAGTCATCTAATAGTGGCAGTACATTTTTAGCAGGTGCACAGCAAAAGCCAGGCCTTGACATTTCATTTCCCTATTGATCTCCCAACACACACACGTGTGTCCTGTCTGCAATGTGGCAATGTGGGAAGTGTTTCCCAGTCACCTTTGCTTTTAACTCGGAAACATTTCAGAGCAAAATTGGCTCTGACAAACATAAATAAGCTTTTAATTTTGATGTACCAGGGAAGGATGCAAATAGAAAGGTTTAAAATTTGGATGCTAACAGAAGGAAGAGACACAACTCTTTGTGTGTTGGGAAATGGAGGCCAGTTATACGTCAGAGATCTTACTGATAGACATCATAACATTGAAATTACCTTTAATTACCTGAAATTACCCTTACCACAGCAAAGGGAGGATAGGTAGCGTACTAAAATACGATGTGTTAGCCTCAGTTGGCCAGCAGTTACGTCAGCACTGTTTCTCCAAAGTACTAAATCTGAATATTGAATGATACTAGTGAATCTTCAGCAAACATTTCAGTTTAACATGACATGAACGCAATGTAAGGTGTGTGGTTTGTAGCATTCCCCAAAAAAATAATCCTCACAAGACTACAGCATAAATGGAACAGTAATGCATTATGGGAAGTTATTTAAGGTGCCGGATTGTGGAGCAGTGCCAATATCTTCACTTACATTATCACACCAGTGGTCTGTTATCCATAGAGCCCTTTAGAATGTTATTTTTTTGTTGGTTAATTTTTAACCCTATAACACCAGTTGTGTTGTATTTGATACATGAGTTTCTGAAACCTCTATGTCATACTACTTTCCTTAAAATCCAGCTGTATACAAACCCACATGTGTATTCTGTCCTCTGGTGCATTATCTGTGCAGGCAAGTAAGGGGCTTTGGAGGCCATTTCTAAAATGCCTGTTGTCAGGTAGTTATTTTTGCTTTTATAGTAAAAGCATGTTGAAAATGTATGTATCAAATATGATACAGCAGATATAAAAGGTAATTTATCTATAAATCCCACAATTGTCATTGTATTGCATGTCATAATACAATCTGCATTTATGCCTACCACAATGCATTTTACACTTTCGGATTTCTTTGATTATTTAATTAAACTAATAATTTTTCCCATTTCCCATTTTTCCCTACCACAGTAAAATAAAAAGGTTGTAAAAAAAGAACCAAACCAATTGAAATGTTCCAAATGTCGAAAATGTAATTAATATTTGTTTTTGTTTCTAAAATAAAAATTGTGGCAATCCATACATTTGCCTAAATTCCTAATGTATATATTATTCCTAATGTAATATCAAATATGATTTTATTTTGACAATAGGCTCAATAAGCACTTAACTTTAAAAGAATTCAAGAGTTATTCAATAATTTTGCTTTGTATTCCCTTTTTATTCCTTCGCAGCACTGGCAGTGGAGTATGTAAATCAGGGCCTGCCAATTGACAGTGATGTTGTTAGATGGCCTGATGTGTGGGAAGCCCCAATTTGTGCAGTATTTTCAACTTATCCTACACATACTGTCCATATGATGACTGATTTTATCATTGTGCAACCCTCCGTGGTCCCAGTGTAATAGTGTAATAGAACTGTCTGTTACTTTACTTGAACATGTAAACCCGGAATTAACTTGAATTCTGGATGACCTCTTCATGTTTAGAACTGGTTAGACCAATGTGGATCTGTCCAGCCTGCTGTGCTGCTGCTGATTACCATTCACATGTAGTACAGACAAATGTGCAGCTTGTGTTTGTTTTGGACTGTGTACTGTCTAATGTTTGTTCATGAATGTACCCTTTGTCAAGTCAATAATCATAAGAAGCCAGACGCAGGAAAAAGTAACTGACCTTTCTTAAGTCCCGCCCCTTTTGGAACCAGCATAAGTACAGGAAAGGAGGAACTTGACAGAGGTTCTGAGAGAGGCTTGCTCAACTGTTTTTGGAGCAGAGAGTAAAAAGGGGCGGAACTTCAGAAG